GCCCCAAGTTTAAAATGCCTGACCTGCACCTCAAGGCACCCAAGATCTCCATGCCTGAAGTTGATTTGAATTTGAAGGCTCCAAAGGTGAAGGGAGACATGGATGTTTCTCTGCCCAAAGTGGAAGGTGACCTCAAAGGCCCTGAAGTTGACATCAAGGGGCCCAACGTGGACATCCATGCCCCAGATGTGGATGTTCATGGGCCAGACTGGCACCTGAAAATGCCCAAGGTGAAAATGCCCAAGTTTAGCATGCCTGGCTTCAAAGGAGAGGGTCCAGATGTGGATGTGAACCTGCCTAAGGCTGACATTGATGTCTCAGGACCCAAGGTGGACATTGATGTTCCAGATGTAAATATTGAAGGTCCAGATGCAAAACTGAAGGGCCCTAAGTTCAAGATGCCTGAGATGAACATCAAAGCCCCCAAGATCTCTATGCCTGATATTGACTTAAACTTGAAAGGTCCCAAAGTAAAGGGTGGTATGGATGTTTCTCTTCCTAAAGTGGAAGGTGACCTAAAAGGCCCTGAAGTTGACCTCAAAGGCCCCAAAGTGGACATTGATGTCCCTGATGTGGATGTTCATGGCCCAGACTGGCACCTGAAGATGCCCAAGGTGAAAATGCCCAAGTTCAGCATGCCTGGCTTCAAAGGAGAGGGCCCAGAAGTGGATGTTACCCTTCCTAAAGCTGACATGGACATTTCTGGCCCCAAAGTGGATATTGATACCCCAGATGTCAATATTGAAGGTCCAGATGCAAAACTGAAGGGCCCAAAGTTCAAGATGCCAGAGATGAACATCAAAGCCCCCAAAATCTCTATGCCTGACATTGACTTTAACTTGAAGGGTCCCAAAGTGAAGGGTGATGTGGATGTTTCTCTGCCCAAAGTGGAAGGTGATCTCAAGGCCCCCAGTGTGGACATTGATACTCCTGATGTCAATATTGAAGGTCTAGAAGGAAAATTGAAGGGACCCAAATTTAAGATGCCTGAGATGAACATCAAAGCCCCCAAGATCTCTATGCCTGACTTTGATTTGCATCTGAAAGGTCCCAAAGTAAAGGGTGATGCGGACCTTTCACTACCTAAGGTGGAAGGTGATCTGAAAGGGCCAGAGGTGGACATTGAAGGTCCTGAAGGGAAACTCAAAGGTCCCAAATTTAAGATGCCTGATGTTCATTTCAAAACCCCACAAATCTCCATGAGTGACATCGATTTGAACTTGAAAGGACCTAAGATAAAAGGAGATGCGGATGTTTCCATTCCTAAACTGGAAGGAGATCTGAAAGGCCCCAAAGTGGATGTTAAAGGCCCTAAGCTGGACATAGACACTCCTGACATTGACATTCATGGTCCAGAAGGAAAACTAAAGGGCCCCAAGTTTAAAATGCCTGACCTGCACCTCAAGGCACCCAAGATCTCCATGCCTGAAGTTGATCTGAATCTAAAAGGTCCAAAGGTGAAGGGTGATGTGAATGTTTCTTTGCCCAAAGTGGAAGGTGACCTCAAGGGCCCTGATGTTGATATCAGAGGTCCTAAAGTGGATATTGATGTCCCAGATGTTGATGTGCATGGCCCAGACTGGCACCTGAAGATGCCCAAGGTGAAAATGCCCAAGTTCAGCATGCCTGGTTTCAAAGGAGAGGGCCCAGATGTGGATGTGAACGTGCCCAGGGCCGACATTGATGTCTCAGGACCCAAGGTGGACATTGATGTTCCAGATGTGAATATTGAAGGCCCAGATGCAAAACTGAAGGGCCCCAAGTTCAAGATGCCTGAGATGAACATCAAAGCCCCCAAGATCTCTATGCCAGATATTGACCTAAACTTGAAAGGTCCCAAAGTCAAGGGAGACATGGATGTTTCCCTGCCCAAAGTGGAAGGTGACCTCAAAGGCCCCGAAATTGACATCAAGGGCCCTAAGGTGGACATTAATGTTCCAGATGTGAATATTGAAGGGCCAGATGCAAAACTGAAGGGCCCCAAGTTCAAGATGCCTGAGATGAACATCAAAGCCCCCAAGATCTCCATGCCTGATATCGACTTAAACTTGAAAGGTCCCAAAGTGAAGGGAGACATGGATGTTTCTCTGCCCAAAGTGGAAGGTGACCTCAAAGGCCCTAAAGTTGACATCAAGGGGCCCAGCGTAGACATCAGTGCCCCAGATGTGGATGTTCATGGGCCAGACTGGCACCTGAAAATGCCCAAGGTGAAAATGCCTAAATTCAGCATGCCTGGCTTCAAAGGAGAGGGTCCAGAAGTGGATGTGAACCTGCCCAAGGCTGACATTGATGTCTCAGGACCCAAGCTGGACATTGATGTTCCAGATGTTAATATCGAAGGTCCAGATGCTAAACTAAAAGGCCCCAAGTTCAAGATGCCTGAGATAAATATCAAGGCTCCCAAGATCTCCATGCCCGATGTCGACCTGGATTTGAAAGGACCCAAAGTAAGGGGAGATTTTGATGTATCTGTCCCTAAGATGGAAGGTACTTTGAAAGGCCCAGAAGTAGACCTTAAAGGTCCAAATCTGGATTTTGAAGGCCCTGATGCCAAACTCAGTGGCCCAACTTTGAAGATGCCATCACTGGATATATCTGCTCCTAAAGTATCTGTTCCTGATATTGATTTACATCTCAAGGCACCAAACATTGGAGTTTCTGGCCCAAAGATAGGTGGCGAAGTGGACCTCAAAGGGCCCAAAGTGGATTTAGAAGCTCCAAGCTTAGATGTACACATGGAGAGCCCAGATATTAATATTGAGGGGCCAGATGTTAAAATTCCCAAATTTAAGAAACCCAAGTTTGGGTTTGGGGCAAAAAGCCCCAAAGCTGACATCAAGTCCCCTTCACTAGATGTGACTGTTCCTGAGGCAGAGCTGAACCTTGAGACTCCTGAAATTAGTGTTGGTGGTAAGGGCAAGAAAAGTAAGTTTAAAATGCCTAAAATTCATATGAGTGGTCCTAAAATTAAGGCCAAAAAACAGGGATTTGATTTGAATGTTCCTGGGGGTGAAATTGATGCCAGTCTCAAGGCTCCTGATGTGGATGTCAACGTCTCGGGTCCGGATGCTGCACTCAAAGTCGATGTGAAATCTCCCAAAACCAAGAAACCTATGTTTGGAAAAATGTACTTCCCAGATGTGGAGTTTGACATTAAATCACCTAAATTTAAAGCTGAGGCCCCCCTCCCTAGCCCCAGAATGGAGGGTGAAATCCAGGCACCTGATCTGGATATTTCTTCACCAGGGATTAATGTTGAAGGTCCTGACATCAAGGTAAAGGCTCCCAAGTTCAAGATGCCAGGTGTGGATGTCTCAGGGCCAAAAATAGAGGGGGATTTGAAAGGCCCCAGGGTGCAGGCAAACTTGGCTGCACCTGACATCAATTTCGAAGGCCCTGATGCTAAAGTCAAAGCACCATCTTTTGGCATTTCTGCCCCTCAAGTCTCCATCCCTGATGTGAATGTGAACTTGAAAGGACCAAAGATAAAGGGTGATGTCCCCAGTGTGGGACTGGAAGGACCAGACATAGATCTGCAAGGTCCAGAAGCAAAAATCAAGTTCCCCAAGTTTTCGATGCCCAAGATCGGTGTCCCTGGTGTGAAAATGGAAGGTGGGGGTGCTGAGGTCCACGCCCAGCTTCCCTCTCTTGAAGGAAGCTTGAGTGCACCGGATGTTAAGCTCGAAGGGCCTGACGTCTCTCTAAAGGGGCCAGGAGTAGACTTGCCTTCAGTGAACCTCTCTATGCCAAAAGTCTCTGGGCCTGACCTTGACCTGAACTTGAAAGGACCAAGTGTGAAGGGAAACATGGATGCGTCTGTTCCCAGCATGAAGGTGCATGCTCCAGGGCTCGACCTCAGAGGTGTCGGTGGAAAGGTGCAGATAGGAGGAGACGGTGTGAAAGTGCCGGGGATCGATGCCACCACAACACTTAACGTCGGGGCACCAGACGTGACACTGAGGGGACCAAGCCTGCAGGGAGACCTGGCTGTCTCTGGTGACATCAAATGCCCTAAAGTATCTGTAGGAGCTCCTGATCTCAGCTTGGAGGCATCTGAAGGCGGCATTAAACTTCCTAAAATGAAGCTGCCCCAGTTTGGCATCTCTAGTCCAGGGTCCGACTTGGACATTAATGTCAAGGGGCCACAAGTTGCTGGAGAGCTAAAGGGGCCAGGCCTGGATGTGAACCTGAAGGGGCCTCAGATTTCGGCACCGGACATGGACTTTAACTTGCAAGGACCGAAAGTGAAAGGGAGCCTGGGGGCCCCTGGTGAGCTGAGAGGCCCCGCTGTCGGAGGGGGTCTTCCAGGCGTGAGTGTTCAAGGCCCAGAAGGAAACTTGCAAATGCCTGGAATTAAGTCCTCTGGATGTGATGTGGCCCTGCCAGGAGTGAATGTGAAACTCCCAACTGGGCAGATTTCTGGTCCTGAAATCAAAGGCGATCTGAAAGCTTCCGGAGTAGGTTTCCACGGGGCTGCTCCTGACATCGGTGTGAAGGGGCCTTCCTTCAGTGTGGCATCTCCTGACTCAGATCTTGGCGTCAGCTTGAAGGGCCCGAAAATCAAAGGAGGTGTGGATGTTTCAGGAGGTGTCAGTGCCCCAGATGTCAGCTTGGATGCAGGGCATATGAGTGTCAAAGGTTCCGGGGGTGACTGGAAGGGACCCCAGGTTTCCTCCGCTCTCAACTTGGACACACCTAGGTTTGCTGGGGGCCTTCATTTCTCAGGACCAAAGGTAGAAGGAGGTGTGAAAGGAGGTCAGATTGGACTTCAGGCTCCGGGGCTGAGTGTGTCTGGGCCTCAAGGTCACCTGGAAAGCGGATCTGGAAAAGTAACATTCCCCAAGATGAAGATCCCCAAGTTTACCTTCTCTGGCCGTGAGCTGGTTGGCAGAGAAGTGGGGGTGGATATTAACTTCCCTAAAGCAGAGGCCAATGTCCAGGCTGGTGCCGGAGAAGGCGAGTGGGAGGAGTCCGAAGTAAAACTTAAAAAATCCAAAATCAAAATGCCCAAGTTTAATTTTTCCAAACCTAAAGGGAAAGGTGGTGTCACTGGCTCGCCAGAAGCATCCATTTCTGGCTCCAAAGGTGACCTGAAAAGTTCAAAGGCCAGCCTGGGCTCTCTGGAAGGAGAGGCAGAGGCCGAAGCCTCTTCACCCAAAGGCAAATTCTCCTTATTTAAAAGTAAGAAGCCACGGCACCGCTCAAATTCATTCAGTGATGAGAGAGAGTTCTCCGCACCTTCCACCCCCACCGGGACTTTGGAGTTTGAAGGCAGGGAAGTGTCGTTGGAAGGCGGGAAGGTGAAAGGGAAACATGGGAAGCTGAAATTCGGTACCTTTGGTGGATTGGGGTCGAAGAGCAAAGGTCATTATGAGGTGACTGGGAGCGATGATGAGGCAGGCAAGTTACAGGGGAGTGGAGTGTCCTTGGCCTCTAAGAAGTCCCGACTGTCCTCTTCTTCTAGCAATGACAGTGGGACTAAGGTTGGCATCCAGCTTCCTGAGGTGGAGCTGGCAGTGTCCACAAAGAAAGAGTAGAGGCCTCTGTATGTGTGTATATATATATATATATAGCAAAACATCAGCCCGGCGTGTTTGTATATAAACTCCAGAGAGAAACACGCCGACAGCCTCAGCAATAATGCAAAGATTTTGCCTCTCCTACTGGCAAGCGCTGAAAAACCAACCGCCTTTAGGCTCCTGGAACTATACAGCTAGGCAAAGAATTTCAAGTTCGTCCAGCCCATGTGCAAAATCAGCAGTATTTGCCTTAAGATTTCAGGTTCTTTTTGCATTGAACGCTGAGAGCTCCTGTTTACTAAGCAAGCTTTTGTGTTTTTATTATCCTCATTTTTCCTGAACATTGTTAGTCTCGGGGTATTGGAAACCCACTTTTTCATTGTAATGACTTTTGGGGCTTGTGTTAGTAAGGGGGGTGGGGTAATAGGCAGCAGAGGGGGCCACATCTCCATTTCTCCTAAGATTGGATCCATTCAAACAGCAAACACCCAAAGACGGCCGGAGGAGGCAACAGCAGGTGTGGGGGTGTTTGTAGAGCTCCTTAGCATTGCTTTTCCCCCAGGGGTGGCGGTCCGGCTGGTTTGGTGTTGACGGGGAGAGGGAATTAAAATTTGTTTGCAAATTGTCCAACCCAGCAGCTCAACATGAGGGGCTCCAGTCTGTGTTTTGTAAGAGAAATGTTTTATTCACAACCGCCGTGCTCCTGATACTCTGATTTCTTTTAACAAATGTTATGATTAAGAAATTTTCCAGCACTTTAATGGCAAATTAATTGAGAATGTAAGAAAATCGATGCTGTACAAGGCAAATAAAGCTGTTTATTAACCCCGATGTCCCGTGCCTTTGCGTTCTGTGTTTCGGGGCTGAAGCCTAAGGGAGCTGCACACCCAGCCCTGACCGTTTAGACTAGATCCACCCTGTGGTGTTGCTATTTCATCAGTGACTTTAGGCAGTGACCTCCGCACAGGTGGCATTCTTTGCTTCTTGGTCTTCAGGGTGAGGCTGGCTGCACCATTGCTGAGAAGGGAAGAAGGGCTTGGCCCCAGGACCCACCCACCCACTTTGCATCCTCAGATATGAATACAAGATTCAGAAATGGTTCTAAATGGGGAAGAGGGTACAGGTCTCCTAGAGTGGAAGAAAGGGCTCTGCCTATGAGCCCCAGGCTTGCTGTCTGTTCCTGACTTGGCTGTGGGTTTTGCTGGGTGGCCTCAATCTACCTGCCCTCTCTTGGCCTCAGTTTCCTCTTTGAAATAAGGCTCTGATCTTGTATAGGATATCTTTATGATCCCCTGATGCATTTCTTTAGATGACTGACCTACAGCTGCTTTTCCTAACCCATAAATGGGTTTAGCATCCGTAGGGCCAGAGAGTCTGTTCAAGTATTCGGGTTACGTACTGCACAAGGACACCACATTTAAGTGTGCAGCATTCATGGCACAGCCATATGTTTATTTATGGAGAGCACGGGAGCAGATATGGAGTCCTAGAGAAGTGGATGTGAGTCCCTCTTTTACAGAAACCCCTAGTGCACGGGGATGAGCAAGCACACGCCCACCGCACACACACCTGCGCGCTGTCCTGACCAGGTCTGGGCACCCCTCAGGATGCTTCTTTCACTCAGCTCGAAGCCCAGCCCTGTCCTTCCCTCAGCTCTGAAGCTGACGGTGTAGGGTGGGGCGGAGTGTGCATGCTGCCCCAGATGATGGCCCTGGTGTCTGGAGCAGAGGGTGAGTGGGTGACAGTGGGGTACACATGTGCACACAGCTAGGGGGGTGCCCTTTAGGATGCAGGAAAGATCCCTGGGGCAGAACTACCCAGGTTGTCCAACAATATGTCAATTAAAAAAAATGGTACTGGGCATGGTGGCTCATGTCTGTAATCTCAGCACATTGGGAAGCCAAGGCGGGAGGATCGCTTCAGGTCAGGAGTTTGAGACCAGCCTTGGCAACATAGGAAGATCTTGTCTCTACAAAAAATAGAAAAATTAGCTGGGTATGGCGGTGCATGCCTGTAGTCCCAGCTACTCGGGAGGCTGAGGCAGGAGGATCGCTTGAGCCAAGGACTTGGAGATTACACTAAGCTATGATTGTGCCTTTGCACTCCAACCTAGGTGTCTCTAAAAAAAATTTTTTTAAATTCTTTCTTAGCTTGAGGAAGAGCTGATGTAGGTTAGCTGTGGCCCTTAGTGTCCATTCATTCAATAAATATTTTTTGAGTCCCATGTGGCTGGATGTGTCCCAGCCCCACTGATCTCAGATTCCTCCTCTGCCGACCTCCATGGACGAAATGATGAGTTGGGTGTGGAAAACTGGAATGCCGTGAACACTGGAAATAGACTTGTGGAAATCAGGCAGCCACCAGGGATAATGAGGCCAGTGATGGTTGCCGAGTTCTCAGGGCAAGATCTCACTCGCTGGGACAGTCGGCGGGTGGTGGGTAGGACGGAGAAGGAACATGGCAAGTGGCCATTCAAACTCGAGAAACTTCTCAGCTGCCCTCCTCTCACATCAGGCCCAGGCGGGAGGCAGTGGCCACAGAACAGGAGCGCTCCCTCCTGCAGCGACCACTGCCATAGCGGGGGCAGCACAGGAGCAGGCCCATGGGGCTGGGGGGCCGGTGGAGGGTCCATCCCAGGTGGCCTCACTCCCCTCCCACCTGCCCATTCTCCTCACCCTCTCTCCCTCTGTTCCCCGGATGCCATCATCACTACCCACCCCTGCGTTCTCTCAGTCCCCAACAGGAACGGTCCAAGTTATCCCCAAAGTCCTGCAGGGGCCCAGACTTGCAAGGTCTTATGCTCTGAGGTCTCGGTTCCCACATTCGAGGGTGACAGCAGCGTCAGGAGACTGGGGAGGGGGCTGGGAGGGGCTCTTCCATGTCCTTCCTCAGAGTTCCAGCAAGGAGTGATTGCAAGGACTGCAGCCTCAAGGTCTACCTCGCTTCAGGCAGTGTGACCTTGCGTGGACAATGGTGTGGTTAAGGGGACATTTGGAAAACTGAATTATTTGAAATGCACCATGGGCTCACAAATGGCAGGGAATAGTTTTCATAAACTCAAACTCATTTCTCAAACTGACAGTTCCATTTGAAGATAGTTCAACCAAAGGGACTTTAATAAAGGGACTGTTTACTGAGTAGTGAGCAGGGCCAAAGAAGCCAACGAGGGGTGGTGAGACCCCCATGGACAGTGGGGAGCTCATACTATCCCTGGGCCTGAAGGGGCACAGGGAAGAAATGGTATTCCTGAAGTCCAGCGTGAGCAGGACGTAGAGGAGGGTCCCCCAGCAGGGGCTGTAGCCATGGAGGACCACAGAACCTGCCAGAACTGCTGCCACGCGAAGCAGGAAGAAACACCCGACCCCTCGCTCATAAGGAAGCCCGGGTGTTGCAGGTGATCCGCTTCTGGGGTGCACAGAGCGGGGCAGAGAAGCAGGGAGGAGGGGTCTGAAGGTGGAAGGGGCAGATATAGAATAATCAGGCCAACGTCCTCATCCTGTTGTTTTTCCGTTTGGTAAATTTGAATTTTTATATACTGAGGTTTCTTAAAATAGCCACAGTTAAGTGGGATGTATTTAAGGTATGACCATAAAGTAACGTGTCAGTTTTTTCTTAAACATACTTATACATCCTGATGGTTGTTCTGTTCTCAGCAGTCACTTTTGGGAAGGTGAAAATTAGAATTTTCATGGAAATTAAAAATATTTTTGTTCTGTCTCTTTTGAAATTGCCTTCAGAGTCACCTGTGTATTTACAAAGAAATGTCTTTGGGGAAACACAGATCTTCCTTTCTCCTGTTTGCAAATAGCCAAAGGGCCTGGAAGGTACAGGGACAGGCCAGGCCAGGACAAGATCCTGTAAACATCACTGGCCTGGGAGTCAGTGGGATTCGCCGTGACCTTGGGCAAATCAAGGTCAATCTCTGAGCGCTTGGTTTCCTTGTAACAAGGATAAGGCATTCTCTAAGGTCCTTGCCAGTTTTAATAGTCTATGATCCTTTCAGAATTAAGGCTGGTTAATTAGCTGGATGGGCTGTTTTGGGTCAAAAGCAAGGTGTGATTAGAATGTAGTGCAACCAATTTTCTTGTGTGGCTGGAAAGTTGTCTCAAATGTTTTGAGCAAAGGTAGCGTAGCATTGTCGAAATACTGCTATGTCTCCAGCATTCCAAAGCAAACAGCCCAGCAACCCCCAGCACTCTGTGTGTTGCTAATGTATGTGTCCCACTTCTGAGTGCCACCTTAGCTCTCTGGTATTGTGCATTATTAGCTGTGATATTAAGAAACATTATCTGGGAGATGTATCTAGGAATGTAACTGAAATTCCTTTTTTAAAAAAAGTGAATTTATTTTGAATTCAAACCTAGTTGCAAGAATAAAATATCCATGTACCTTTCATTT